TATTCAGTGAAGTTTTATGAATTTTCTTTCATTGCATTTTGTCTATTCACTTCGGATTTTGCAAATTAGTTTGGTATCCTCAGAGACGGACCGAGCAGTTGACTTACCTCATTTCCATTAAATATAGCACTAATTTCTTCATAAGGTTTTTTTGGCTTCGGAGGTGGATCCGCAACAGTAGTTGCCATATTCGATGGTATAATATTATTTAAAATATTAACAAAAATTTGGAACCAGTTCAATTCATTGGGAATTTTGTAAGATCACTTTTGAAAGTTGTCAATTTTTCTTTTTCTTTGTTTTTGGTTTAACAACTGTCAATAACTTATTGAGGAGTCTTCTGTAGTACGTAAAGCGGTGGGTAAACGATGGATGATTAATTATTTTTATCAAGGACGTTGAAAAACATATTACATGGCGAGGTGTAACTTACTTAAATATCCTCATCATGCTTGTCCAAATTACAGTACTATAAAGTTTCTTTAGAAAATATGGCTCTAAGAAGATAAGATATTCCTCGTGAATGAATAGAACCAGTTAGGAACACGGAAGCAATTCTTTAAAACGAGAAAAATGAAAGAATTACAAAATATCTAATTTTAGATTGCATTTGACATTTGATCATTGGAACGAGTTCCACATAAATTATTAAGTAATTGACCGTGAAGAGACGATACGGAGACTTTCGCTATCATCTCATTCATAAATGAGTCCAATAAAAGATGTATCCTGGTGGTAAACACGAACAAACATCAAGCTCTGTAAAATCATTATGACCTGATTTTTGAACTTGCTGAAAGATCATACAATGCGAGACCTTAGTACGGGATACATATAGCTTGATATGCAATGCCGTATACCATTCCAATTTGTTCCTTCAGTGGAGACAATAGAACCAAAGATACTGAACTGAAGAGTTAGATTTGCAAGTTTAAAATATAATAAACTGTTTACGATAAACATTTACATATGTCTCCATTTTGATATTACAAAATGTATTGTTATGCCTACAACCACTTTATTGTTTTACGAGTAGACATAACAGTATATCAGTTGACATAGATCTTCGTATTATTTTATTACAATAGCATGAATAGTGTACCCTACAGGTGAAAAATATTGGTTTTATAATTTTAGGAAGTACACGATATACTATAATTGGGAGATGTCTTTTTTTCAGTGGAAAGCAAAGTTCGAATGTGTCGATGACCGGAATAATTCCATGAGCTCACAGAAATCCGGCGTGAAACAACTCTTCTGTTGTACCACCGAGCAAATGAGCAAATCAGAGGCCCAATCGCCTTTCTCCGCAAAGGTGTAAAGTACCGATTTGTTACTTCTAGTTGCATGTTTTTTTTTATAGCATAAGCCAGTAAACGAGCAAACGGATCACCTGATGGTACGCAATCGGCGCCGCCCATGGATACCCGAAACACCAAGGCATTACAAGTGCGTTACCGGCCTTTTGGGAATTGGGAATTTGAGGATTGTGGAGGATTCGGGGATTCGGGAGACTAGGTATCCCCCGGTAATTGGGCCACCGGTAACCTCACCCGACGAAATACAACACAAGCGTTGTTTCACGTCGGTTTTCTGTCAGGCCGTGGTATCACTCCGGTCGAGCCGGTCCATTCGTGCCGAAGCATGGCTCTCCCACACTTAAAATGCATGTGTCTATGAGTGACGATGATTGTTTAAGATACGTCGGCTCAGTGGCCCGCTTATCTCACAAAGAAAATCCCTATAATATAGTACCTGCTTCACGAACAAAACAGATGTGATGTATGTTGTATAAGTAAGTTCATACTGTTCATAGCATACCGAACAACGACCTTTAACATGTTATTTAATATAGAATCAATAAATTCCCAGAATGATTGTGAATTTAAACACTACCTAAGTATTTTTGTTTACAATAAATGAATACGCCTGTCTCCTTTTGGAGTCATTTCTCAGAAGATGTCAGTGGTTCGCTGTCAGCAATAAGATGCGTGCACATTCCTTGTCGGAGATTGAACTGAAGAATCAAATAATTGCTAGGTTGTCGTTTTTTGTTTGTTAATGATTTTTGACGTCTGATAGCAACGCTTACAAGTACCTTGTTACGATGGGAAGGATAAGAAGAAGCTCGTCTCTTTTCACTGGTATTCATTTTATGTGATGAGTAAAAAGGAAATAAGAAATAAAGGGAAAAAAGAAATATTTTTACTTAGTTCATTGGTTTACTTAATTGTACTAGACTTAATAGTATAAAGTAATGTCGCCTCGGAAGCTCATACATATTTTCAGTGGTAGAACCGTTTGACAGAAAGCAGATCATCTTACACAAAACTTCAACTAAAATTCGAGACGATGGTTATGAAAAAGATGATACAAACTTAGTCACAGTAAAAGATCTCCTAAGATCTAAAACTATAGGTTTAGATTTCGTTGTTAAGATTTCGTCACGCGACACCGAGAGATCAGACAGATTACACGTTACAGATCAAAGGAGCGGGGGCTTAACAGGAAATGTAGACAATAAACTTACAGTACATAGGTACGTGAAACTAGTGCTTATTACTCTGTGACATACATTTCATAAATACAGAAATGCCTATCCATTGAGAATCAAGGCAATATTTATTATTGGGAGAAGGTTGCTTACATTATCCTGATTGTTTCGCATTTTGAATTTGAACATTAGTTAGACAAACTACATGAATCGGTTTCAAAAGGTATATAAATCATTTCCTCTCGAGAAACTTATTTCCAAAAGCCCATCTTGATCAAGGAACTACCTTACACAGTTTAGTATGGACGTACAGTGTGATATTTTTATTCTGCACAAAAACAAGCCATTGCTCTCTTGGCCTCCTTGGCTCACTGAATCATTCGTGATCCGTAATCTATCTGCCCCTTTGCCCCTATCTCAGAAAAGTACGTATAAGTGACCAAAAATCTTTGGTATATAGGACCGTCTGTCTGCTTTAATTTGGTGCAAATCGGTCCCTAAGGAAGTTTCAAGAATCGAACTTAATTAGATTAACGGCTAACGTACTAATGAAAAGATTATCTACTGAGCTAAGTTGTTAACGAGACGTTCATAGGATGCGCGTAGAATTACTTAAGTAGTAACAAAAAATATCGTATTAGTATCTAATGTAATGGGGAGTAGCCTTTCTAGCGTTACATTGGCACCGAATCCTGATGTTGTGGTGATTGAAATTTCTAGAACCGCGAGGTGACGGCAGAGCTGAATGCTGCAGGCGGCAGGCGGCAGTTATAACCACACCGTCCACACCCGTAAATGTCATAAGAGTCGTATAAGGGACTACACATCTGACAGAGATTGGGCAGATGTGTTCTCTGGTATACCTACCTGAACTTTTAATCAGTTCTCCCCATCACAGCATACCCTCTTAAATATGCTAAGGAGGAGGCGGGACGCGTGAGGCAGCGAAGCGCTGCCTCCTCGCAACCCAGCCATCGCGAAGGACACACCGGGCGTCGGGGATCGCGGGACGATCTCCGGCCACCGTAAGCGCGGGCCTGCGGACGGCGAGCATGGGTGGCTCCCCGTCCGACCAGAAACAGACCCGAGCGTACGGCGCGTCGCGTTCCGCGCGCGCCTCAAAGAGCCATCAGACCACCACAGATGGGGCCCAATAGGGCCGATGCCGATTCGGAGTCGCGGAGAACCTAACGGGTAACCGGGGCTCCGGCTCGACGTGCAGGAGAAGGAACGGGGTGGTTTTTAGTCAGTAAGAGTCTGACACTCCCTCCCGCCTCACCCAGGCGGGAGCAGTCATTCGATGATTTTCCCCCCTTAAAAAAAACCCTCTTAAATATGTAGAGGAAATATTAGTCTTGTCGGAGCAACTTTTATGTGTGATCCGCAAATAAATTGACGTGTAGAGTGCTGCCTAGTCCTTGTTTATGTTAAAAAAACACAAAAATGTATGCAGTGGACTACGGGCTGCTGATCTCCTATAAATGTTGCTGGACTGCTGACGATGACGACAACGATGACGACGGTTTGTATTTAGTTTAACACAATGTACCTAAGTACTTATCATCAATTATTACACATTGATTTTGCCTTCGATAGATCAATAAGTAATTGCGGTCATATAACGTAACAATGACAAAAGTAAATGCATTAGATGCACCAGTAGCATTTAGTTAATATGCAAAGCAATCGATGACAATTGACTACCGACCGATGCTCATCGATCGATGTCAATTGGTAAGTTATTCATCGAAACGGGTTGCGGTTTTCGATGGCCAGAAAGATTGATTGTTAGCTATTATTAGGTAAGTAAGAGCACACAATCAACGTCTTGATCAATTTGAACTTTTGCTTGATGAATTTGGATACGCGTATGCAATTGTTATTTAGATTGGTGCATAACAGTTGTTTGTAGCGCACGTTATGGCTAAAGCGGTCAAAGTTCGTTTTTTAATTTTAGTGCACATGGATATTGTCAAAGATTTTGAATTTGGTGTTGAGTGTAAATGATAATTTATTTGTGGTGGTAATGAAAGTAAATTAATGGAATACCACGATAATTAGAAAGAAATAATAGAGTATTTAACTTTATCTATTTGATGTAGATATGAACACTACCGTAACACCTTCACTTCAGAATATTTAGTGCACTTGATACCTATGAAGATCATTTAACTCGTCGAGTACCGGTTTTGTAGACACAATTATAGAACGGTTGCGGTCACCGGTGACCGCTTGGTGTTTGACAGTTTAAAATGAAATCCGTTTAGTACAACAAAGATTTAGGGGACACCGTACCTTATTATTTCTCGAAAATATTTGCTGATCTTGCGCCCACCAATCCACCAATATAACAGAGGTCAGTTATTTTTAGGTTGTAGAGAACAAGTTGAAATAAAGAAAGCTCTATTATATGATTTTTGGTTTCTATTTACTCCAGACAATGCTTACTCCAAAGAGTCTAGCAAGTATAGGGGAAGCTTACTCTTTGCTCAGACGTCACAGTGACTTTTATTAAAACAGGTGCCTTGATGGTGCTCTCAAAATTTTGCTAAAATTTTTGTGTATGTGTCTGCGTACAGGAAAATGGCAGAAAGTCCTTCTAAGGACACTCGATCTGTTTCTAACAAGAAAGGACCCTGCCCTTGGCTGTGTGATTTAGTCCCCTCGAACCTTCCACCGCCTGGACCAGCCCAGACAGTCTTACACCCTCGAAAGGATGTCTTTGTTCTGAAGGTAAAATTATCACTGTATTAGAACATTGTGGGGAATCTTTTTAAGTACCAAAGCTTAAAAATATTACGTTATACATGATCTCTAAAATATTTTACAGCCTCAATCCTCTGCTTACCTATCCTACCTTCATAGACGTCTATTGATTTATTAGTTTCTTCTTCATGGCCTATTATGAGAACATGTTGTGCCTAAGTTTAATTTTAAAAAAGCTTTCTGCATTCAATTTTCGTTTTTACAGTAGTTCTAATAAATATTTTAAACTCGACCTTAACTTAATGGGTATAAATACGTTTACCAATTTGCTGCTCCTTTGCAATCCTTACAATCTTACCATCACCCTAATCAAGTTAAAAGTTAATGTCAATATATACATAGTACCTATTTCTTGTAAGGTGTCAAGCCGCTACGGTAGGTATGGAACCCTGCTACCAGCCAGTAGTGGCTGGACACCTTACAACAAGAAACACTCTGTATAATCACTACCTTATATGGAATGGTTTTTTATTCATTTCAGGTGGCTAAAGTAGGGCCTACTGGAGATCGACGTTGTAAAATGGAACTTGAATTAGTGACGCCGAAGGGACCCGAAAAGAAACCACCATGTCGAATAGACACCAGAGAAACTCAGTGCGAACCAGATCCACCACCGTGTACATGTTGTACGAAGCCGAAAAAGAAGGGAAAAAGTTAAGACGCCTCGAAAATAAAAATCTATTCTTCGCAAAATTTTAATAGAACTTACATGAAATACGTATATCTTACATCAAATAACCCTTCAAGACTTGTGTTTTAGAAAAAATTGCTGAAAATAAACCCCATTAAACATGAATAACTAACTGTTTGTCTATAGTTCTGTACTACTTAATATTATATAGAGGAAACATTTGCATGTACGTATGTATGTAACGTTTTTACGAAAAACTACTCGACGGATTTGGATGAGATTTAGTATACCGATTAAAGTTTGAATAATTTTTATCCCAGGATCGCGGGCCAATCCGTCAGAAGAAGCTAGCATATTCCTAATAATGGTTTCTTGACCGATATAATGGTTCTTCTAAGTATTTCCTTAAAAATGTTCTGCTATTGTTTGGAACACTACTTAACGCCATCTGTTTTTCTTAGCAACAACTAACTCAAGAGTAGGCCTACGCTACCTACTACGCTGTGTAAGTTAGGCCCGTGTCTGTTAGATATACGCCTGAATACTGAAAGGCTACTCAATATTAACTTGTACTTAAATATCGTCCACTTCTGTCATTTTAGAATGAATTTGTAGTGGCAGAACAATATTTAAGCGCGGCTTAAAATGGAGTGACGTTGGGTATTTCAGCGACAGGTAGCTGTAGGTAAAACTTGACTAACACTTTACCACGTACTTTTGTTGGGATATCATCACAAATAGCACTTGACTGTAATTTATTGTATTGGTTATATTACTGTTGAAATATTCAGTTGACTATGAGCTATTTTTCTATGAGTAAGGCAGATTGCTTTGAACCAATCCATGAGTAAATCATTGGGGAGCCTGATGGGCGGCATACATATTATGATTATAATTATAATTACAAGCGTACATAGGCCACAGTAACCGCTGATGGCAGATGAGCTGAGTGCTATGTTTTTCAGCGTCGTTGTTTCAAAAAACATTATTATATGAGTTAGGGTGAAAACAGTCATTTGGTAAGGGATGGGTAGGTAACTCAACTTGACGGCCAATTATTATGAGCTGATCTTTATAACCGAGGTTTGAGGGGTAACCTCTTAAGGCCCAACTACTCTTGCCCCCCCCTCTCCAATCCCTAAATCTCCAACTATCCTCAAAACAACCCCAAAAGGCCGGGAACGCACTTATAACGCCTCTGGTGTTTCAGGTGGCCATGGGCGGCGCCGATTGCTTACGATCAGGTGATCCGTCTGCTCGACTACCGGCCTATCCCATAAAAAACCATTGATCAGTTTCATGCATTATTTCCTTAACCTACTAAGTCCAGTGCCACTACTGTGGCAACTAGACTTACGGCCGAAATTAATAACCGATCTAATAGACAATAACTATCTATTTTCGTTCATAATCGATCTTGATCCAAAATCAATCTCCGCTTCTGACTAAAAATGCCAATAATCGATATTATTCTACAATTTCGTATCGAGACCGCTTATTTATTCGAGTGGTAAGACGACATATTTTTTTTAGGTTTTGTGTAATGGTGTGTCTACATTTCGCAAACTACATTCAGACACATGCATTCCGCTAGTGTGGACCCACCATTAGAGTTCTATTACAAGTAGGTAATTAACATTACAAATAACACTCTATTGGAAATTAATTTTATTTGTAGAATGTCAAAGAAATTCGTTGATAAACATCTCAGTACTGTCGTTACTGGGTTTGTAGTATATGGATTTTTCACCATCTCCCATGTATTATACAGCTTCTCCTTGTGTGCCGAGCGTCAATTTATTAGGTAGCATTAACGCTGCTCAAAAATATTACCTAGGTTCACTTCAAAACACCACCGTATCTTAATCAAATATAGTAGGGGATGTAGCGTGATTTTCTTTAGAAAGTTAACTACTTATAAATTATAATGTAATATAATATATAATGTATTGTTTTAGAATAAAGTCAACAGTGAGCGTCAACCAGTGTGCGCGGTGCAGTCAAGAGCTATACGGCACGTGAAAGTAGAAAAAAAATACTTTGCTTAAACACTATTTCAACTTTTGTAAGAAAATTCTTTTGTAAGAAAAAGATATTTTACACGTCCCTATAGATTTTACAATTTACAATTTTATTATGTACCTACCACTACAAAAAATCATATAACTAGCGCCATCTTTTTTTGTTAATAATAATCATAAATTAACATTCTAGTAATTATATAAAAAGTAAATAGAAAACTAAACATGATATATAAGTTTACACTCGCAATAAATACTCAACATGTTTATGGTACTGACTGTCGCAGATTCGTCCTGAATACTTGCATCTGATTATTTTTATATTATGCCAACAACATAAGTATTCAACGAATTTCACGAGGTGTATATGATCATACACCTCGTAAAACTATTACTTTCAGAAAAATGCTATCTTTATCTGCGTGATTGACGTGTATAATAACGCGCCGAAAGTGGCTGACTAATTTTTCCTAGTTAAGAATCATATAAAGAACTATCTCACAAAATTTTATGAGTACCTACCTACAAAAAATACTTAACGTAAATTTTTTTAGGCGACTTTCACGTTCTATATTTCTTGACTACAACGGTTGTTAAACAGCTTAAATGCTCACTGTTCACAAGTATAAGGGGAGAACTAAAATTACTAATAAAATTTTCAGTAGTACCATAATCACTTTTAAAAATAGCGCCACCTCCCTAACAAATATTTACTATCGTGATTATATAAAATAATTGGTCTTTTTTGTTGATTTCATGAACAGCAGTTTGTGCAGGTACTCTTGCAACAATTGGGACTTAGCTTGTAGCGAGATGTCGAGCAACACTTTTGCGGAGTACATGGTGCTGGAAGGCAACATTTCCGAGGCAAGCAGGGTGACTGGCAGCAACGAGGTGGACGTGGAATCACGCACGGTAACGGGAATGGTGGCATGTATGGTGACGGGCAGCATTTCCGAGGTGGGCAGGGTGTCATGTAGCATTTTCGAGGAGAGCATGGAAACATTGGGTAACACTTGCGAGGCCGATAGGGAAAGACTGAGCAACATTTTCTAGGTGGGCAGGGAGAAAGAGTGCAACAACCTTGACATGGGTCGGGCACGCTGCGACACCGCACCACTGGACATGTTTTGGAGCGATTGTAGCACGGAGAGATTAATTTTCGATGAGGTTTAATTTTAGGATGGCTGCGAATCTTGCGGGGTCTTTTATATCCAACAGGACACGGTCTTAAACAAGGTGAACTTTTGCAAGGTGTAGTGCAGGGTGAGCTACAACAATAATCCTTGCAGGGCGCTGCACATGGCCCACAGGGACTATTGCATGGCAGCGGTAAGCAAGGAGTTGGAGGGCACGGCCGGCACTTTGGCGGAGATACGCATGGCCTGCATGCAGGAGGTGTCGCGCATCTGCCACATCGCGGCGCTGGCGAACATGGCCTACATTTAGAAGCTGGTACACAAGGACTGCAAGGTTTGCAAGGTTTACAAGGTTTACGGGGCTTGCATTTCTTACATGGCGGCGGTCGACATGGGTTTCGGCAAGGCGTTCTGCATCGTATTCGGCATGGTGTTCGGCATGGTGTTCGGCATGGTGTTCGGCATGGTGTTCGGCATGGTGCTCTGCATGGCGTTCGGCATGGTGTTTTGCATGGCGTTCGGCATGGAGTTTGACATGGAGTTCGGCATGGAGTTTGACATGGCGTTCGGCATATCGTTTGGCATGGCGTCACGCATAGCGTCCGGCATGGCGTTATGCATGAAGTTCTACATGGTATTTTACATGGTACTTTGCAAGGGCTTTTGCAAGGCGATTTGCAAGGCGTTCTACAAGGCGTTCTGCACGGCGTTCGACACGGCGTTCGACATGGCGTTCGACAGGGCGGCCCGCATGGCCTTTTACAAGATTTTTTACAGCATCTTGGGGGCCTACAAGGCGAGGGGCTGCAAGGTATCCTGCATCTTGACGGACGACAAAAAGGACCGGGAGGGCAGGACATGATACATGGTGACAAGCAATTAGGTGGGCGAGCTGGTGGTGGAGTCCATTCTAGCATTAGTTCATTCTTTGCAAGTGGAGCTCCATTCATCCTACGAATTACTAATTCAAAAACACCTCGGCGGGGATTTGTCATTGTGGAAACTTTAACAGGCACCTGATCATCCTGACCTGATGCAGCAACCATACACTTTGGCCCTTGACATGGGTCTTTACCGTGAACTGGGCATGGTTCTCGGGGACAAATTTTTATATGAGAGATTGTAGCAACCATTTCTCCCTTGGTGGCACCAACAGTACCTGGGCAAGGTTTTACCTTAATTGAAACCGTTTTGCCATTAGTAGACCCACAACAGGAATTTCTAGTTTGTGCACCCGTAGCGTTGTTTGGCATTTTTGCTTGTACGGAGGCGGTACTTGATGCTACTGGTTCACTCGCAGCAGTAGCAGTGTTTACAGTGTGTACTGTTTTTTTAGATCCCATCCCCTTACTATCATTCTTTTTTCCGAAATAATATATATCTGAATATCTTACGCGGCTATCCTGCATTGACTGCCTTCGGCTTCCAAAAGGTAATGTCGAAGAATTAAAAGTTGAACTATTACTGGTATTTTGGTCATAACAACAGGTGGTGTTGTGGCTGGAGGCTTTAGTATGGGACGCTTGGAAACATTTGTTAACGGAAGCTGTGGCTTGTGTTCCTGAAGTGCGACGGCGGCAGAACTCATCAAACAGCGTCATATAAACAGTAGTTTCCTTTTTACCAAATATGCTCCTAGGTGTGATAGAGCGATGGCATCTCTTTCGGTGGTGCGTGAAGTGGCTGTAAGACTTAGAAACGTAATCTATCTTGTCAGAAAACGATACGCTGCGCCTCTTAGACCTGATGGTACACAGAGAAGTTAGCGAATGATCTAACTTTGTTCGAAATGATTCATCTGAGAACTTTATTTTCTCGGGTAATGATTGTGAATAGTCTTCAACTACAGTCGTTGTTTCAGAACACGGTATCGAAGATCCGATATTGAAGTCATTGAAGAAATGGTCTTCTATATGAAGCAGTTTCAATTCCTTTGTTGATTTAATTTTCGTTATTTGATCTTCCGTCAAATCTTGATAAATCGGGAAGCTCGGCAGGACACCTAGGATGAGTTGACGACATTTTATTCATGTTAAAGATTATTTAAGTAACTAATCATTTTGGTACCTGTTTCAATACAACAGTACCTACCTATTGAATAAAACGATCTTCTACAAAAAAAAAACAACCTGTTAACTTGAATATACATTTAATCAATATATTGTTACATAACGAAAATGTTACGTTGAAGTCAACGTTTAGGAGTTTTAGAAGTGGGACAACACTCTGGACAGGTAGGTAAACATTGCGCAGTTCGAGTGTCTACGGTAGGTATGACTTTTTCATTGTTAGTAACAGGTGTAATGAATTGGTATTCTAATTTTGATTTTCGCCCTGGCATCTCCATAGTCTTTCCAATGCGGAGCTTAATCACTTGTGGTGGAAAGTCATACACGACCCCGGGGTACTCCTCAGCCGTTGTTGGCACGAGCTGTTGCGGATCGTCCCGGGCTACATCTCCCACTCCGTCAGATGTGAAGTTAAAATGAGCTCGTTGCTTGTGGTTCATACCGCAGGTGTCCGAAGGCATTTGGAATACGACCTTGTTCCCCGGCGGGCAGCAATCTGCACAATTTGTTGATTTATCAGGGTAATATACAATTTAAAATTGAAATAATATTAATAATACAGAACATAAATAATTAATGAAAGAAATTATAAATTTTGAAACAGTCAATAATAATAGTCAGTACCTATACATACATTGTATAGGTTTATGTTTTTAGTCTAATTTAGCGTTTCTTTTTGCTCCCTTTGCAATGTTTCATTCTTCGACAACAACAGTCGCATTCTGGGTCAGTTGCGATTCTCATGTTTGCTTTACGAACTGGTTGCTTCTTATCTGGACCCTTAGGTGTAACAAGTTCCAGTTCTAATTTACATTTTGTATCACCCTGCATAGCCGTTTTTGCCACTTTTAATACAAATACATCTTTGTTGGGATACTCATTTTTCGTGTCGCCTCGACTATATACAGCCTGTTGGCCATGCTTTGCTGCTTGGATACATCCTTCTGTGGTACAAGTGAATTGTGTTTCTTGCGGTCGCATGCCTCGGCAACATATAGGCTCGGCTGGCAGAGCTAAACTGATTTTATTCTTTCCACAAGGTTGTATACAAGGTCCCTGTTCTGTTGTGTTTTTCGTATACGGGCATTGCATAGCACAGTGAGTTTGACTGATCTTCTTGATGATTGCTGCGCTGGCTGGTACTTTAATCTTTAGTTCGTTGCCACCCAAATTCGATCCTATCTCTTCAAATTGTTTACTGGGACCTGGCCATCAACAAATTGTTTCTCATGCATTCAGTTACTGTATAATTAACTGGCTTAATATACCTATTTTACAACATCTTGTCCAGAACATTAACCTATCATCATCCTAATCGTAGTTGAGGGGCACACAAACGCTAAATTGATAGAAATTTTTGGATCAAAATTTTAAAGTTTGAAGAATTTTGATCCAACAATTATGAACTATTGTCATTATTTTAATCCTCACCTTTGGGAATATGTAAACAATATTGTTCAGTGTTTCTGCACATCATTGGTGGTTTCGGAGGAGGCTTAGCGCCTGAACAGTAGCAAGGGTCATCTGGATCTTCACATGGCATAGTACTGTATGGATCTTGAGCTGAAAAAATGAGTATAAATAAAATTTCAAAATAATAGTAAGTACTCTTTACCTGATCATTTAATTCTTTAAAACAAAAGTCATACCAATTGGACAAACTCCGCGTCCGCCCCCACCAGGTGTCCTGCAGGGAGCGGTACAAGGTACTGAACCGTGTGCCCTACTGCTCGCAGCTGCTTGTGCGGCGCCACAAACACAAGGATCTTGAGATGTTTGGAATTCTCTCTTTGGATTACATGACCTGTCCACAATAGAAGGATCACGACCGCCTCCTAATCTAGGGGGCGCACTCGCACCTTGGAATCGTGTAATAATTAATTTTCCAAAGCAAGAGATGCGTAAAAACATGACTACTTCACCGGTCTCGCTTCCGTCTGGACCGACGATACGAAATGAATCCTTCAAAGCTTCGTAGCTAACATTTGTTGGATCTTCTAAAAACTTTTTACGAGATTGTACAAATTCCTTTGTCATATCTATAACAGCTTCTCCCATTATGATTTTCGTGGGTAGACAACCGCATGGAAGTGACTTGAATACTGATACTTTTATAGGAAAGCTACTCATGGCTTTGCTAATGTCTCCTTCTTGAAGTGAAAACAGACATGATTTTCCGCTGTTGAAGGTTTTCACAAAGGGTCCCCCACTTTTAGCTACACATGCTCCAGGATCGTCATCACATATTTCTAACGGTTGGACTGATGGAACTTCTATAGTCACACAGGTCCTGAAGTCCTTGTCAGAGAAGCAAGGACTCTTGACAAATACTATTTTGTCGATGAGTACTTCCAGGAGAAAGAGGCCATCATCCTGCTTCGCCATCGTTATGAAAGGGGATGGGAATTTTTAAGTTTAAATTTTTTTTTCAGAAGAGTTTTATCATATTTATAATTTTGACATTTCTTACAAACAAAAGAATATTATTATGTAACTATGTCACTGACAGTAATACAATGTTTTCTTCTAGACTTTGCTCTATGCTGGTATTGTGCAGGTTGTAATTGTCGCCTTACCACTGTGCTAACCTCAACACTCCTCAATACCATCAAGGCGGTCTGGTCAGTACTCGACGACTGGCTCGGGAGAAGGCACGACTTGCTGTAGTTCTGCATGACGCTAGTACTCTCGGACCTCGGGGCACGAGTATGTCGGGAAGTCCCTGTGTCGTATAGGCAGTGAGCCAGACGTTCAGTGCCATCACCGCGTGCATTGTGAAGACCTGTTACTGCTGACTGTTGTACAGAAATTGGTCGACAGTGTCCTACATGAAACCGGCGTGAAACCACGCTTGCATTGTATTTTGTTGTGTGAGTGAGGTTTCAAGAGTCCCAATGGTCGGCAAAACACTTTTTTAATGGGCCAACCCCACCACAACCTCCTGCAATCGCTGTAAGTATAGTATATTAGATACAACCATGAAAATACCAGAACACTGAAGTTCGGCGCGTCCCAGATGTATAAAGAGATTTGATTTAAATGTGAGTGGGTCCTAAATGCGAGCTGCAACGCTCTTCCTAACTCCTTTGATGTTATAAGTATCTACGGGTGGTGTTGATTGCTTACCATCTGTTGATAAATCTTTGCCTGACTCGTGTATCGCAAAATCCCCAGACTTGTCCACTAGTAGGATGTCCCGGCAGAGCAAATTATGTATTTGGTTTCTATTGAAAATGTTTTATTCGATATTCTATTATGATACCGTTCTTCACTTGTTTTATATATTTCTTTTTTTTAATGTACAAAGGTAATATAGCTTTTTGTAGATGCCCACATTACAGTGCACTCGTCCAAGTGTATACTTGTGCTGGCAAGTAAGTATATCGCTACGTGGGTAGCAACCATCGAAACAACGGCTCATTTTAGGTATAACTTTATTACATTTTTTTAAGAACAGCTTGATTATCGTAATACCAAAAATCAGTACAATTAAGTTATTTAACTAGAGAATTTGCGGACTATGCATTCGTACTTAACCGGAGGGTAGTTTTTGTAGTACCAATTGCATGTTTCGTTTTGAAATGGACGTCCAACACTGGAACAATTTCAGAATTTATACGATTTTACTCATTATCGTACTAGTGATCATCGATCGTGAAGGATAAAACGGCGAGTCGATAATCAACGACGAAAACGGGAATTTTGTCGTGTCAAGTGAGAGATTTAAAGAGATAAGTTACTTTTGAACCTATGGGTTTTCATCGGCCGTGTGCTTGATCTAAAGACGTTGAATAAAGGATAGATCTTTATTGGCAAAGTCCAACTCTAAAACCTGCAAAGATCTATAATACGAAGATAGAATAGGAGGCGATTTATAAGTTAATTGAGATTACCTGGTGAGTTCGTTTCTGTTTTTTTTAACAATTCAGTCATTAGTTGTCCAGTTGTGGTGAAACTAACTTAAAAATGAATACCTCGATAATAATGATAGTATAAGTTAGTTGTTGCTTATAGGACAACAAGACTATATAAGTAGGTACTACGTACTACGTAGGTGGCTACGTAAGTGTTGTTGGTTATTATAAAAATATTCCACATGGAAATTCAATACCGAGTTGTTCATCTTTCAAGTAACAAACAAGCAACAAAGGGTTCTGAGGACACAACCTTGTACTAAATAAATAGAAAATAATAAGTCTTTGTATAAAAGATGATGGGGTATTTGACAGGTGCATTTACTTATCCATTGAGGCTCGAATTTCTTGGCGCGTCAAGGTGGCAGTCAGGTCTGGATAATACCTCCATCTCTTTTGTCCTGGATCCTTGGCCCACGCCAGTTGGAATGGCGTCAAGGGCGGTATGTGCAGCTTGCGACAGTCGCGACAGTGGGCGCTAAGAGGTTTCTGTACAACAATGCGTAAAAGCCTTACAGTTTGACACGTGTCTGTTTGGTACAACAAAGAAAACCCTTTTGTAACTTAAGTAAGATATTTTTCAGATCTCCATCTTTATTATTAGAGCATGAGTCACAGTTAATTACTTTTAGAAAAGGTTTTCATTTTTCAGGTGTGTTTATAAAGGGTAAATGTGAGAGCACAGCTCAGTTAACTTTACACCCTCCTCAATGAAAGATCATCTGAAGTAAATATTTAAAACAAGTCGAGATTTTTTTTGGCTTCTATTCGTATATCAGTGCGTTTATATAGGGCTTAGTCCAAATAAAATATCCATTGTCTTTTGAAAAATAAAGAAGGTAGTACTAAACAATTCAACGTATTAATTTGTGACACTCAAAACTTTGCGCTAGTGTACCAGAGGCCATTATTGGTAAGTACTTAGTGGATTACTTATATTCTTATATTTACTCATCTATATATATATATATATATAAATGAAACCCGTTTCCCGTTGTCACGCCATAACTTGAGAACGGCTAGACCGATTTGGCTGATCTTATTTTTTGTTGTGATTGTTATCGTCAGGGGAAGGTTCTTATGACAAAAAAGTCCTAGAAATCCTACGGGATTAGGAGAAACGGGATTGCGCGTACGAAGTCGCGGGCAGAAGCTAGTTTATAATAAAAATAATACAAATCATAGGCTTAATATTATTTTCACTATTTCATAAATAGTGAAAAGTGGGTGTTACATTGTAGTGGCATTAAGTGCCCCTTCGGGGATAAAAGGCGCTACGTTATGTTATGTCCTTCATGTTATTTCATTACCATAGTTCGCCAGTCCCGCTACTAACCCACCACTAATAAATATATTTTTAACGGTGCTCCTATGTCCTGAAAATTGCGGCATAATCTTTTAAATAGGACAAGTAAAAAATAATATATTTTTATAGAACACATCTAAATCTGGACCATACGTATTTATTCCTCTTGAAAGACAGTCAGATAGATGGCAATCAGTATAAAAAATCTTACTTTTGATTTTTCATCTTGTTCTTTGAGGGCATCGCAAGCACGGGTTCTGCGGTACCTGACGCAGTCCAGGTCGTACTGGTACGAACGAGGAAATACATTCTGAGGAGCTGTAAACGTTATTTAACTATCAAACATTTGTAGGTACTTGTATGACACAAAATAATTGGCCGGTTTAAACGGAGTGGGATTTCGGACTCACAGAAAACTACCGTGAATGTTTCACGTTGCTTTTGCCGGTAAACAAGCAGACGAGTCATCTGATGGTAAGCAATCGGCGCCGCCCTAGGACACCTGAAACACCAGAGGCGTTACAAGTGCGTTACCGGCCTTTTGAGAATTGGAAATTTGAGGATCGTGGGAAATTCGGAGATTGGGGAGACTGGGGAGGGTACCAACCCTCCCCAGGTGTCTCCGGTAACGTCACTCAAACGACGAAACACAACGCATGTTGTTACACGTCGAGTTTCTGTGAGGCCGTGGTATCACGCTGGTCGAGCGGACCTCTTCGTGGCACACTTCTTTCCCACACTAGTAAAAAATTTTGATAACTAATTTCAAAGTCCCCTGGTGTTGCTGGTGGGCGGTGCCGATTGCTCACCATCACGTAAAACGTATTTTCATTTGTCGCGCTATTCTATCAAAATATATTGTATAAATATCCTATTCTATCAATGTGTCATATGTAGTGCAACAACAGTATTCTGATATGATATGACTGCCTCGTTGGTGGTCGCAATTGCGACTGCCGGGCAAAGGGTCTCGGGTTCGATTCCCGGGTCGAGCAAAGTATTACCGGGTTTTCAAAATTCTTGGTGGTAGCACGGAGTCTAGAATTGTGCCCGGTATATGGCAATAGGCTCACCCCCTATTGAATGGGACTCATAACGTAAAAAGTGAAAAGTGGGTGTTACATTGTACAGTGGCATTAAATACCGTAATGTGCACCTCTGCCTACCCCTTCGGGGATAAAAGGCGTGATGTTATGTTATGGTATCTTATTCTGATATGGACAAAACTAAATCTATAGTATTTATAGAATCTTACTTGGTTGTACAACTTCTGTGCATATTCCATACTGAATGTATGAATCATGTATGGTGTAGTCGTTGACGCCGGGCTTATCCACCCAGAAAGCCTTGTCTCTTTTAACCATCTGATCGATAACTGCATCGGGAAGTTCGCTAATCGTCGGCCTAATAAAAAAATATCTCATTTGAGTATACCTATCTAATTCGACTCGTACACTTGTAGTTGATGAAGTGTGTAGAGAAAAGATCACTCAGTTAATGTGACTATAAAGTTTATTGCACCCAATATTAGTTCAGTATAGGACAGTTGGCAATTCCTTACTCATTTGTTGTTTACTTCGTTATTAGTAGAAACACTGCTCGATAATTACTTAAAGTATGATAATTGATTATATAGGTACCTATAATCAATTATCGCGCGATCGTACCGATCAGCAAAATATGTATGTAGCGTTGAAGACTGTACCTATACCTAAAAATTATGTAAGTATGTACGTACATACTAAAGAGCATTCCCACATACACATTTTTTTAAACGTTATACCTAATTACCGCTTAGATAGGCGAGAGTGTCAGACTCTTACTGATTAAAATCACCCATTCTTACTCCTGCTTCCAGCCGGAGTCTCGGTAAACCGCTAGGCCTTCCGCAGCTTCTGCTTGCTTACCTTGCTGGCACTTCCGTTAGACTTTTAGTGAGTGGTATCAAATATTTGGCGATGCAACACTGAGTCAAGTGAGGTGGACATCCTGGTGTCAAGCACTCGTGCGTCTTAATGGTTCTGGATACATCGACTATAGCATAGCTGGAATTCATTAAATTAGTCAGAGACTGTCACATTTTCGCTTAGGTTCTTCATTAGCGGGCTAGGTGCGAAGTGAAGTCACCATCATCAGCCCATTTGTTCCACTGTTGAGTAGAGGCGTCATACGGAGATGGAATGAAATGAGCTTTTATCACCATGCACAGGGCGCGTAGGTTAAAAGAAGAGGTATTGCATGATCAGATACATGACTATTGTGATAGAAGTTAAGATTAAGGATTACTGGATTACAATTTATTAATTTTCCGAGGTTCTTGTCTACCCGCATCACGAAACCTGATGGTTATGTGATCATGGGACTAAAACCAAGGACTAATATGTAACCTCTGTTTTTTGGCGGGAAACTCTATTGAACTTTATGGTACGTCTGATCAAGATAAAGAAAGCTGAAGTGTATAATAAAAGTGGTTTATAATTTTTCACTAACACAGAAATTATAAGTGTATTATCTCCGACTCCTTCTTAAACGCAAACGCAAGTTACTATACCGCTCATTGCTCATCGGAAAACTTAATACTCCATGATCGATATGTTCATAGTAGGTACGTATATCATAAAGTTCACATTTACTTGTTAGGGTCGTAATCGCCGAATTTAGCGACATTACTTTCCGGGTGGGCTGGATGGCCTGTCTTCCCAATATCTCCATGTTCAGGATATGTGCTCATTATCACTGTAAAATTTTAAATTTAAAGTTAAAATAAGTAAACAAACCGCTGTCTTTATTTTGACGTTTCAAAGTTTTTTTTAATTTAGTTGCGCTGTTGCACTGATTTGTATTTTATTACAAATCTGGAATAAAACCTTAAAGGTATGTTAAAAAGAAAATTATTGATACCTTGGTTAAGACCTTACGTAAATTTTCAAGCAATTTTACTTTAAAACTTACTTGAAAGCAATTTTACTCTCGAGCGTACGAGTCTCAAAGAGCCATCAGACCACCACAAATGGGGCCCAATAGGGCCGATGCCGATTCGGAGTCGCGGAGAACCTAACGGGTTACCGGGGCTTAGATGCGACGTGCAGGAGAAGGAACGGGGTGGTTTTTAGTCAGTAAGAGTCTGACACTCCCTCCCGCCTCACCCAGGCGGGAGCAGTTATTCGATGATTTCTCCCCTTAAAAAAGGCAATTTTACAACTTTAAATTAGATTTCAATATTAACTATTATGTCCAACACTGCTGACCCCTTAAATAATAAATATCACTATGTTAGTTTTACTCTACCCGATCAGGCTATTGAATCTATTGCTCGTTAACCATATTGACTCCAATGTCAGCTTACCCTCCATACGCGAAAGGAAGGTGAACCGCAATTACAATAAATAAACAAGAGCGAAGGCGTGTCGTGAAAGGACCATAAAATAAAAAATAGGGAAATTGGATGCTCCTATAAACCCAACGCAAATATGGTTTAAGTGCATCAAAGTTAAATATTATAGAAATCGTTTTCAGTTCTATTAAGTGACATTTCGACGAATTGATGTAAAAATAACTCGTATACCTACCAACAACAATCTTACACGTACTGGTGAGAAAAATTGGAACTAATGAAATTCCATACAAAATGAAGCGAAACCTTTACCACTAGCGCCACACTGAACAGCATGTTCCGACGCTATTCCCATCGCGGGCTATTGATTTTCGTTTTGTACCCGATGTTACCACATTATAAAATAACAGAGTGATGTCCAAGTAGTCGATTTTAGTTAAAGAAATTCGATTCCATTTCAATTAAATATCTACAAAAAATTAACTTAGTCAAAGTAACAACCTTAATGGGATGATTATGTCGGTTTATAATAAAAGAATGTGTCAAATATCTGCTATAAAACTCAAAACATTTTTAACTTACAACAATGGGGTATTTTTACTCACCAGATGGCATAAATGTCAGAAGATATTTTGTCCAATTCCAGCAACTGTCAAATATTTAATGTCCAATAGTGTGACACTGCCTATTTCACTATTGGATGAAGAATGGGAGGCGTACACTAGCGCCATCTGGTGAGCAAAAGTACGGTAGATCCCCATTGTAATTGTAGATTTTATTATGAAATCCGAGTATTTTTTAAGTATTAATAAGTTATAACAACGTCATGGGTTTGCAACCAGTTCATTTTTAACGAAAATAGTAAGAAATAATATAGACTATATTAATATCATGTATAAAAATGTTTTTCTGTATTTATTGTAAATAAACAGTATTTATAAGACTTAATACTAATGTAACGCTGTTAACGTGGGTTCCTAACTTTTGATAAATAGTAACTTTTAAATTCTTGTAACAGAAAACAAATAATCGACTAAAACATGTCGATTATTAAAAATGTTTTTCTTTGTATACAACACTGATTTATCTTCATATCGTGATACGAAACGGTAGTAACAGTTCAAAACAATTTTTGCAGCGGCAGTGCGACTTGCGGTATCTTGTCGCAGCCCCGTGAAATTTGAGATTTTGAAATAATATTAAAGTGTTATCAATCATGATGAAGCAGAGAGAAAAACCCGTAAAAAAGGAGAAAAAGAAGCAGTTGGCAGAAGAAGAAAAAGAAACTCCGCTTTGTTGTAAGTTTAATGAAATATACATATTTAATATTTGAAAAAAATACACTTCGTTTTTTTATTTCGTTAATTTAAAGTTATTAATATTTATTATTTTTAATTTCGTATTTTTAATGAAATTGTTTTATAGTGGCGGGAAAATTTATTTGAAATAGTTGGTAGGTTTTCTCTGAATAGAGGATCTAGCATGCAAAAGATATGTGATGAAGCCGCCTATTTGTGAATACTATCTTCAGTTAACAAACTTAGTATGATAAACTTGATTATTATCCATCATTACAACAGCCCTTGAGAATCCACCGCTGGACCACAGGTCTCCCCAATAGAAAAAGGTTTGGTAGACGAGTTACAAATTGCATATTAAAAGTATCGATCAGGTTTGTCTCTGTTCTATATGCAATCCCTTAGACAGATTTAAAGCAGCCACCGGAAAAGAATAGAAATAGTGACAAATAAATCGGTTCCTAAATTATTCAAGTAAACCGATAAGCTTGCTTGGCCAATAGGCGCTTGGTTTGGACTGGCCAGGAAATGTCAGAGCTGGATGACAAAGATTACTTTCGACAAAAGCATGCATTCTCTGCATGGTAGGATTAGAAAAGATCCCCTAATTGAGAGGTATTTGTAATAAGATGAAGTGGTAAAAAATAAATAAAAATTGAAGCAGGCACCCGATGCCATACTCATATAGAGTGCTGGACATATATTGCAAAGGTAGAAAACTGGATACATCTAGGGCTCTGGGGCCACGCCCCAGTAGAATTTTGGGTACTGCGCAGCCGTAAATATCAATAAAATGGCGGACATCCATTGTCATATCCAAGTAAAGAGTGTGTGGGATATTAGATTTATAAAGTCTCATTTCAATAATTAGCGTCATATCTATTGTAGCTGTATATCCTGACTTACATGAGTTGCAGCGGTTTTGGGAGGCTGTAGAGGGCTTGAACCTTAAACAAAAGGTGTTGGTGTGTGTAATTATTTTCTCTTGAGTGATATATAAAGAATACGCCCTTTTGTGGGTACCGTTATAGGCAGTAGACTATAATTTAAAAGTCAGCAGTCCTCAAATGGAGACAGCTGGTATAAAATAATTTAAAATATGGGTCTAATAAAATAAACATTCCTTAGTTAAAGCATTTAGACAAAATTTTATAAATCTAACTAAAAATCCTAATCCGATTTATTCATAATACAACTGTTATCTACTGATTTCTTAAACCTATATTAAAAACACTTTATGATCCTAAATTCTTTGTTTTGATTATTTACGAATTTTTGGTGAACATATGTTGGTGAATTTTGGTGACAATATGTGTGAGAAAAATTGCCATAATTTAGATGTAAGTAAACTCTTAATAATTTCTACAAAATTTGCGACATGTCGGGGAATTCCGTGACTTGGTGGCTGCTAGCTACATAGGTAAGGTAAATAGTAAGATCACAGCTAGTAGTGACGCGCTTCACGTTTCTTTATTTACAGATACCTAATTTATAAAGAGCAACACCAGCCTTCGTCTGTTCCTCACTCACGCACTCGTCATCGTCAGTCATATGTTATATTGGAAACTTATGTTTTTCATTTGCTTTGCATGGTTGAATGTTTTATATTTAGTAGTAATTTTAAGCAATACCACTTTAGGATGTAAAAGTTTCAGTTGTAGGCATTTTATTATACATTAAAAAAAATTAACACTTGATTTTGAAATAAATAAGTAATGGGTGAACTATCGAATTTCGTTAAACAGTGAAATTGTAAAATTATATTATTATAAAAAAAATGTTTGGCAACCCTGGCTAAATAAAATATTAAAAATCGATTAGCTACCCGGCAATTATGTTTATTAACAACTGCATATTAGCGTAACACAAAATATTTAATTTTAGGCGATTAAAAAGAACAAAACATTCTCTTTCTATGGAAAAAGTGTGCTTGCAACACTACAGCTATATCGAAAAAAATAGAAAAATATTAGTGCCCGTGGTATGGTGAACGTTTATCGTTTCTGAATGTACAAACTTCACAATCTCAAAACATTGCTAATATGTGACTCATTATAGTTTCATTGTCAAGTTATCAATATTAAAAATAATGTCCAGAAATATAGTTTTTGAAGGGTGGTTAACAAAGTCTCCACCAAACAGGCGTATTTGGCGAACGGTGAGCTCAACTTTAGCTTGGCATTTTGCTTTTGTTGACAGAGTAAGTGAATATCGAGTTGGATTAAACACGCTGAGATATACTCCCAGCTGGAGATTTGTATAGCTATTTGCAAGAGGTAACTTGGGCAATTGGTTTAGTTTCGTTTTTGTACCACAGAGATGGCGCAGACGCTGGTTTGCCTTGCGGCAGTCTGGCGAGCTCCCTGGCCAGTATTTTTTAGATTACTATGCGGATCGGAACTGCCGTCGTCTCAAGGGCACAATCGATCTGGACCTTTGTGAACAAGTAAGTGCATAAAAGTGAATGTAAATATCTATTTATATTGTTATCTCTAACAAAGTATCACAGTAGAAAGCCACAAGTGGATTTAGAGGTTTATAACTAATAGAATTTGTACTAATTGGCTTTATTTATATTAACTAATAAGGGCATTATCTGTGACAGTTTTGTAAGATGAAAAACCACAGTGAATGATGGTGGTAGTGTTCATAAAGTCATAATATTTGTTTTGTGAAAAGTAACCAAACTGTCTGTGAATAAGATTGAAGTGAGTTTGGATGCCAGTGGCTGTATGAAGTACATTGGGAATGTAGAAACCGGTAATGTTAAATAAGGTTTATTTTGCTAATAGGGTACAAAATAGCAGTTTTACATGTCAATATTAAAATAACATTAGATGAGTTCGGCACTATCTAACCAACTATTCTTATAAGAAACTTCAAGATAAACTCAGAGTTCACAAGCATTTTTAGTCACTGGCGATATTAGTGCTAGTTCTATGTTACATAGTACAGATGTACAGTAGTAGTAAATAAATGGGGAATAAAGTTCATCTAAAATAACCATAACCTAGGTACCATATAGAATAAACAATCTCATCATAATCCAATTAGAAAATATTTTTGTTTTTTTACCTTAAAAGTTTGTATTAAAACTAATATAAAAATATTATATTTTGTAATATTACCTACAATTTTTCAATTTATCTTGATACATTTTATTGAGGCCTATTACACATTTAACCATAATAAAAATTGAATCTGATATTGAATAAATAAATGATAGCATTTTCCCACACAGATATCAGCTTGCCGATAAAAACTTGAATATGGTTTCTGCTTAATTTGATAACATGGATAGTTTCAACCTTATCCTAGAGATATTCTCAGAGTGCTAAGAATGATTCAGCACCCTTCTTTGTAATTATGCTTAGCTTGTATTGCAGCATAATATGTTATTGTTAATTTTCTTGATAATCATTTTGCTGATGTCTCTCAAAACACGCAAGTCAGTGTATGTACCAGTGTAGCAGTTCTGTTTCGAGAGTAAAATTCACATTAAATTAGTAATACTATTATCAAGGTACAAATGTACTTAAAGCAACTAACCTGGCTTGATGAATTAACTAATTTTGATAAAAACTGACATATTGGTGAATTGGTGGTAAATATTACAATATTATTTTATTTACATTTTTGCTACTAATAAATGTAACATTTTTGTCGCTTATGACTCATTAACACTTTAATTTTAAATAGTGTTTCTAATAATATCCTTTTGTGTTCAATTTATGTTTAGTTTCCCCTTAATATTGAAACTTTTCCTTTACCTTATGAGTTACGCCTGTGTTAGGTAGCTACCGACAAACAGAATAAAAATAATGCGTCAGGACATAGCAAGCTTGTTTATTATTTGACAGGGACATTAGTACATTTATATTCTAAATATTCAATTATTGCAAAAAAATAACACTAATATTTATGATCAAATAGTATTACTGATATACATAGTAGTTAATTGTTAAACATGTGTAATACCTATATCTTACTGGTTTTGTACTGTATTACAATATTATTCTGACTACATATTAATTACTCTGAAAGAGAATATTAGTGCCACAGAACAGCTTGATAGTTAGGCCGAGGTTGGTATAAAAAGTAATTTTATTTATTTTCCTTAGAGTACTTGTAAAATTGCTTCCGTGAGAGCGGTGACGGATAGCAATTGTAGATTAGTTTTGTTGTATTGTAGTAGAATTTCAGATTCTTAGATTCTCTTTCAGATAACACAGGTTAACTGACAAAGGTAGGATTTTAGTTAAATGTAATTTATAATAATAGGTTGATGCTGGTCTTCATATGGAACGGCACGGACAGGCTCCGTTCAACCCTAGTATCCGAGGATCTGTCTTTACAATTCAAACTCAGCGAAGAACATACCACTTAGAGGCTGATTGCGAAGCAGAAATGGAGAAGTGGGTGGATGCCATTTGCCGAGTCTGTGGTCTTCGTGCCACACTTGATGTTCCCGCTGGTGCTTCCAGACATAGTAATGTCATTGGTATGTCATTTATCATTTCTTCAACATTTCTTGGTTGTGGTGTATCTTATAAGTATATTATACTTCGATATTGTTTATTGCAATGCGAATAAGAAGTCTTCGAATAATTTGACATTATTTGATATCATTGACTATTGTGAGATGCGAGTTGTGCCATGCATAACATTATTCAACAGTAGAACAAGCTTAAAACGGAATAAGAGTTTACTAATGTCTACAAAATATTCCTTATTTTGAAAAAAAAAAAAACTTTTTTTATAAAAATAGTGCCGGGATATTATAGTTAGACCAAATGTTTCGAAAAAAAAATATATAAATGAAACGACCCAAAGACAATGCGCTGGTGCAAGGGTGGCCAACTATCGCACAGACTACATATCAAAGCTTTAAATGGAACTATGCATAATAGATACGCCCGAATACTGAAAGGCTTACTCACTTTGAAGTTGATGTAATTAAATATCGTGCTATCTCTGTCATTTTACAACGAATAAGTCATCGAGTACCGTCATTATAGACACAATTATAGAACAATACGTTGCGCTCACCGGTGACCGCTTGGTTTTTACAGTTTAAGTAACGTTTCAGTATTCGGGCAATAGTATTGTGGGGCCTGTGCCTTTAGCCAAACGCCACTTTAGCGCTTGTCAACAGAGAGAGTAGAAAACTATATATGGGGATGACACTGACAAGTGTCAAAATTTACGTCAATTCCATATAATTTGGTTTTCTATTCTACAAGTTGACAAGCGCTAAATGGCATTTGGCTACAGCTGCTGTTTCGTCATAAATATCTATTACCTTTGCGAGATGTCAAATTATGCCAATTGGGTACTTGCCAGCTAGTCAAATTCAATACTTTTTTCGAACTGTCAAAAACGACAGTTTTCTATGAATTTTATACGAAATTGTGTATTGTGACGTCATGTTAAAAATTTGCTGGAAAATACTAAAATTTAATTTTATAAGTTGTATCAATTCATGAAAGTGTGATTATTTTTTTATATTTTATTGTATTGAACAGTCGAAATCATTTATTTTTGAAGAAGGTTAGTACCCATTTAGACTATACAACAGACACTAAACCAAAAGTGACCCGGGGCCAAATTATTAATTCAACTCTAATAGACCAAGATGTAAAATTAGTGAATGTTCTTTAACTAACCGCCTGAAAGAAATGTGTGAATGTGCTAGCAATCAGTGCTTTGCTCTACCACTTTTGAATAAACAAAACTGGGAAAGACAAGCCGATCGCGATCGATCGGTTGGCCACTCGTGCTCAAAGCGACATTCAAACTATCACCGCGAATGAATTTACTCTATTACAATTTTAATTAAATGTTTACACTTGCCATTGCTTTTAAATCAAGACTTTTGATTAATTAAACATTTATTTTGTCTCAGACCACATGTTTTCTGAAAGGAACGACAAATCAGGTCGTAAAAGAAAGGTAACAAGTAATGTTTAATAGAAGAATATTCAGTCCGAGTTTGGGAATGTTAGTTCTAGTTACATCATGTCTCGTGTAGTAGTTAGTTTTTTTTATGTAATGCAAGTTTTGAAATATTTAAATATTACTTTTAATTTACAGCTGTTAAACAAAAGGGTTAAAAAATAAAGCAGTGTGCAAAAACAGCTTTCGATGTTTGTTATAAAAGAAACTGATGGCCGAATATGCTGAAGTACTTAATCAATTCGGACAATTGCTAAAGAGCGATTTTTTCTGTTATGTTCTGCTTTAAGCTGATGCATTTTAAATGGTTATTGCGCAAATACGTAAAGCGAATGAGCTGTTTTTTATTTATTTTCAGAACACTTCAATTATTCGGCCATCAGCGATTGTGTTGTGTTACACAATTCGTGTAAAATTTAACAATAAAAATCTCAACATTCAATCTACAACCTGTGTTTCCGTTTATTCAATTAATTGAACGTATTCTACAAGGGTCCTACAAAATAGATGTACCCAAATCGAAGAAGTTTCTTATATTAACTGTAACTAAAATATTCAGATGTCCGTGGAAGTCTGCATCAAACTGGGACATGGAGTCATTTTCAACATTTTGAAGCCCCTGAGAATGCCAGCGCTAGCTATTTTTGATGGTTCAAAAGTTAAGAGCAATATTTGTTATTGCAATATAGTTTCATATTGTAATGTATATTGCTCAAAGAAAATATTGTAAAACTGATTAATGACGGGTATCAATGCTTTTTTTCTTTATTAACGTTGAACAGTCAGCATTAAATGATCAGGGTACTAAAATAATTAGATGAAGACCAAAATTTACAATTATATCGGTACAAATATAGTTACTGATAAAGTAATAATTCATTACTTTGTTCACAAATCATACTCGCTCCCTCTTGACCAAAGAGGGTTGAACAAAACTCACCAATAATACTTTTGAACCGCTAAAAAAGAATGGCCAAAAGCCCAGACTCGATTAAAATTATTCATGACCAATATGGTAGGTCATATTAAAAATAATAGACGATAAGTAAGAGGTCGCAAATTCGCCATTCGTTTTGGCCAAAAACCATAACCGAACGGGCCAGTAGCCTGTAGCATATTACAATTTTGTATAGCAGGGCCCGTGACTAACTGACTTATGTTGTGTTTGGAAAATAATGAAGAATATGTAAGGAATTACATTTACTAGAATTATAAGCAACACCCCCAAACTTATATGATTTACCAAGATTATCGTAAAAGAAAGTAATGTTGTTCGTCAGAAACCAGTACGTACAATCTGACTGTTAAGTCTGCGGAAATATATAAAACGATATCATGTCAATCTTGTGATTATTTCTTATTTCTTGGTGATACCTGTGTACCTTTTTTACTGATGGTGGGACCACTGTGTGACCGTCTCCACTCATCGCACCCGTGGCTCGAAAGGTCCGCCTACATGAAACGGCTGTTCGACCCGTTGGCTTATTGGACGATTCGCACGAATTTAACTCGCACGAAACGTGCGAATCTACTCTACTACATATTTGCAAGGGTGTCGATTCGCACGCCAATAAATGAAATTCGTGCGAATCGACTAAAGAAAAAATAATATGTTTTAAAGGAGTCGATTCGCACGTTTCGAGTTCGTCGAGTTCCAGTTAAATTCGTGCGAATCGTCCAATAAGCCGACCCGTTTTGTGAGCAAGATAGGCCTTCTCGCGAACCCGCTCAGCGGCCTCCTTTTAGGACATTACAGTTTGACATAACAAGGACACTTCTCTCCAATTTTCTGCCTCTGTCAGTATAGCCCTAAATACTGCTGGCAGAGCTGACTCTGCCTGACCTGAGAGAGAGACCTGAGTCTCGCCCTATCTTGGCAATTAAGACCCGCCGCTCACTTACTATATATACTCACTGTACCTTACCACATAAATAATTTTATCGATTCTGGGTTCTTGCTTCAAAATTTTCTTGGGTAAACCTGTTGGAAATGATTTTTCCTATGCCTGTTTTATTCCGATCTGGATTTCTTGCAGCATCCCACATAGCTGCTGATAGGTACATTTTTGCGTGAATGTACATCGAGTTAAAGAAATAAATACATTTAAAAATAAACTTGGTTACAGGTTAAGCCGACCTAAATAAATACTTTATAGGGGTTCCTCTTAAAAGATCTAGGTTCATTAACCTGTAACCTGTATTTGAATGAAAACTTTTTCAAGAAACCTTAACAGAGTTGGTTAAGTTTTGTATGAACACATTTTTTATGTTTGTATGTACAAATAATAATGTCTTGATTTGTTTTGATTAACTTCCAAACAGTTGTAGAAAAGTGATTCAAAAATAAAATTCGCTTCTGAGAGTTATTTCTTAATTTTACAAATACGTTAACTGCTATTTAACCAGACTTATTTTGGTAAGTTTAAAACAACACCCACATAAAAACATCCAAAACAACAAAACCATTTAATCCACGTTTGATAGATATGGCATAAATCGTTAGACTAAAATAATACATTAAATTTTATACATGGTTCAGTGGTATGGGATTATAATAAGTAGGAAGGAATGTAACAACAAAGCTTCCGACTCTCAGGGGGAACCTGACAACTAAGGGTTGTTAACTATAACACTAACCAGAGAAAAAATGACCGGTTATAGTAAAAGTTATGACGTCATTTAACTAATTGTCAAATGATACAATTACAAAGGCTTCGTCCGCCCACCACCCCTAGTTCGGTCTAGTCGATTTTAAAATTCACTACATTAATTGTTTTAAAATCATTTTGCCGCTATATTCATAAATTAATATTGTTCGTTGAATTAGTTTTATGTACCGTCAATTACGAATGTCTATATTTAAAGCTCCTGGCCATCCCGTTTTTTAATCTGGTAAACTAAGGGCTCCTACACAGTAACCTACCCAATAGCTCTGAGAATTATGATATCTAATATTTGTTTTGATTTTTTTATTTTTACGTAACATTTATTTTCGTCACGTCTAAGCTATTATTTCAAATTAGGTGTATCATTTTTGTTTTGACTTTGTACCCACATATTTTCTGAGGAGGTGCTCCATCATCTCAGTCAATATCTTCATATTGATACAATACAACGTCTTATTCTGTCTTCGAACATTAAAGCATCTCAGTGTCAGTCACATCAGTTGTGTTTAAAAGTTTTTTTATGTTAGTGATTAGTGGTACACTAAACACGGTTATTATTTTCATATCTAAGTATATAAATATTTAACGTTTGCGTGATTTCACGTACATAAGGTCAGTGTTTAGACTACTTAGATTTAAAGTTTCATAGTTTTTATTATCGATTTAGATTTATTGTATGTGTGGTCTATATCGTAATGAAATAATAATTAAAACATCGTTTTACAGATCCTAGCAGCGGTCACGCTACTATAAATATGAGTGACAATAGTGAGTGCCCCGACGGTACGGGCCCATACATCCCCATCTCCGAGTGCATCACAGGTGTTCGTGCTCAAGTAAGTCCAATAATTGCTTTGACTTTGACGTTTTCTGAATGTGAAACGTGCTGGTACTGTGTCCATCTTAGTCCCCTACGAGTTAATCGAGAAAATGTGTCTGAAAATAGACCGAGGCACAGAACACTAGAGCCCTATTTGCGCTGCGCTGCAATTGTTACATTCGTTTATCGTTTACCTATTGCATCTTCCCCACTTGAATCTCGAGATTTGATCTGCGTATTGTAGTTTACGATGTTTACATGTAAGATCTGTATCTTTTTGAATAATGCACGCGCCACGCACCAAAAGGATGTTGATGCAATGAAGTAACTGTCCATTTTCATAACATTTCAATTTGTAATCATGCGAATGTCAGGGGTGAGATTGAGGTGTGTACTGTGTACATATACATAATTATGTGTCAAAGGAAATGTAAGTTATCCGTTATTGAATACAATTCCTAGTAAATGTATGCACATAATTCTTAAATGTATTAAATAATGTTTAAAATAACATTTCCTAGTTTTGGCGTTCTATACATGTCCGAGGATACTTATACAATTCCTAGATTTCGTACCATTCCGGTAACATACTTACCTATCTACTGAAAGAGCTGGCTCTAGATTTTAAAAGCTTTTAATAAACTCAGGCATGATTTCTCGAAACTCTTTAAAATCCGGTTAAAGTCCGTAAGTCTGTATAGCTGTTATCGGGAATATGTCGGCGACAATTACTGGTACGTTAGTACGTTGGATTACTTTACCGTGTTTTTTTAATGGTATAATCTTGTGAAGCACACGTAGACGCGCAACGCCAGGACCTTTATAAGTGCGTTGTCGACGTTCTGGTGATTAAAAATTAGATTATTGTTGGGAATACCGGGATTGGGGAGATTGGGGAAAGGGTAATGGGCCTCCTGTAACTTACTCACACGACGAAACCCAACGCAAGCGTTGTTTCACGTTTCTTTTCTATGAGACCGTGATATCACTGCTGTTGAGCCGGTCCATTCGTGCAGAAGCATAGCTTTTCCACACTTAAAAGCATGAGAGAGCGCCACCAAAGCGTGTGTAGAACGTAGGTAGGGCCGGCGATGCCGCTGCATTGTAGCGGCTTTGTAAGAGATGAGGTAAACGTAGAGTAAATAAGTCGTTATATTGATTACTCGATTTATTTGTGTAGCGAAATAACGATATAGTTATTAACATTTTTTATTTGATTCTTTGAAAATATGCTAAGATAATATATATTATAATATGCTAAGATAATATATATTATCTTAGCATATTTTCAAAGTGTACATGACACAATTTTAATCGATTGCTGACTTGTCTTATTTACTTACAGTATTTTTACGTCGCATGTGAATTTTGATTGTTATTTATTTTTTCTGGTTAGGTAAGCGTTGACTCAAAGTCTAAGTCAGAGCCTATTTGGCCGAATATTGTAATCAGTAAAAGTATTTCACATAATATTAATTATTATCAGTTGTCCGTGATCGGATAAGTAATAAAACAATGTCGGCTTTCCGCCCCCTACCGATTTAAAGTTGGCAGCATTGTTACAAAGGCGCGCGGAAAATGTAGGAAAACTCAGAAAACCTAAAATTCAGAACAACTAAGCATAGATTTTTAAAATGGACGTGTAATTAAAATTTGTTATTACGGATGCAGCTATGCGCTGTTTAAACTTGTATGTGCAATGACTTGTACGAGTTTTTTTGAAATTGAAATAGTTTAGGGCTATTACGAAATAGGACAGATGTTGCTTTTTTATCGTTTGTGTGACATTTCTGAACAAAATAACATTAAACTAGGGCTGTAGCTAGATTCGTTGTATTAAAAAAAAAAAAAATGGAATATTGTTTTGTTCTACATCTTGATCGTTCGAAGGGTTCATAGTTGCAGTGACCTCAAGTTGAATAATGCATGCGTACAACGAGTCAATGTCAAGTTACAACCGCGCAGACCAAACCGATCGATGATGACGATGACGAACTATTATATTATTAATGTTCTCGATTCACTAGACTGCCTCATTGATCGAGTGGTCGCAAGACTGCGGGCAAGGGTTCCCGGGTTTGATTCCCGGATCGGGCAAAGTATTACTGTTATTTTTTTATTCTCAGTGGCGAAGTAATTTGTCCGGTATATAGCAATAGGCTCACCCCTATTACATGGGATTCATAACATAAATAGTGAAAAGTGGGTTTTACATTGTAGTGGCATTAAGTGCCGTAATGTGCACCTCTTATACAACTTCGGGGATAAAAGGCGTGATGTTATGTTCTCGATTTTTCTTTATGCGCCGGTGGAATTAATTGTGGCGAAATTATTTTTTACTCTGAAGAAAACTCACGTTTATTAAATAAACTTCTGTCTCAATTCCTTGCAAAGGGGTATTTCTGAGCCAGCTCCAAATCTACTGAGTCTATTATGAATATCTTCTCTAAACTCAGTGGGGCAAACGTTATGTTTTAACTGACAATATTGTGTAAAAGTAGGCAATGGTTATGGAAAAGTACTGAAATCATCGATGCCACTTTAGTATGTGTGAGACCCAAGAAATTACGAGATTAACCAATCAGGACTCTAAACGGCTTATGACCATGACAGCCAATCTCGGAACCTTGATAAACTGCGCAGTCCTTTATAATCGTGTATACGCGCAATATCGATGCACTCCCTGTTCCTGCATTTTTTTATTTTGTTGGGACGACAACACGAAGTGCCCGTTAAAGGTCACGCAGAATCAATAAATGTTACACTTTTACATTACAAATGATAAAATTTTAACGATTTACTATTACTTGGTAGATTTTGTCATTTATAACAATATTTATTGTCCTCGGATTTCGAATGGTCGACTTAAGAAAACAGATTAGTTTTACCAATCTATTAAAAAAAAAGTAGTCTCCTTATGCCCATTTTCACCAATCTCTTTCCAATCAATTTTGAGGACCCGTAAGCTAAGATAGGTGACATTTAACGACATTCTTGTTTTCACCTACTAAAGTGGCAGCTAACATGGGGTTAGTTTAGGTGTTCGTCACACCAACTGGCTGGGATGCACTGAAGGTTCGGTGGCTATTATTGGCGAGGCTCTAAGCGACCTGTCTCGTGGCCGCGGTTGGGTTGCTGCGGTCTCGAGCGGTATTGTCACAGTGGGGGCGTATTTTTCTCCCAACAAGAGGCTCGTCGACTTCGAGAGTTTCCTTGTCGAGTTGGGCGCTGTCGTAGGCCGCTATCACCCTCGTCCCGTCCTGGTGCTCGGGGACCTCAACGCCAAGTCATCGGCGTGGGGATCTCCGGTTACTGACCCT